ATATATATATGGTTCATAAATTTTACTGGAGTGGTGAATATCTAACTGTAATAAAGAAAAGGAAAGTCTTGAGTTTATAAACAAAATTATATCTGGCAATAAGAAGATACGTCAATCTCCAAAACCTTAACACTCTCCTGATGTTCACTTTAAAGTTACTTTGAAGTTATTTTCATCTTTCTTGACATTCTTTAATGATTAATCTATTATGCCTCAAGTGCTGGCATGTAAGACAGAATTGTAACTATTTATTCAAATAAGAAGGAACAGAGCTAGACTAGGGTTATGCAATGCAGAACAAAATCAGACATGACCCCTGACCTTATGGAGCTTAAAACTAATTCAGAAAAGACGTTAACCAAATAGTCCCACTAATGAATTCATAAGAAGAACTTAAAATGAATGTTATCAAGAAATAGAATAGGGATCTAAGAAACAATATAACCAAAGATACCTGACCTGAACTTCGGGAGGGGTCACATAAGTAAAGCTTATCATGAGATTGAGGAATAAGTAACTATTAACCAAGAAAAGAGAAGGTAGTAGGAAGAGAGAACAAAATGGACAAGCATAATGAAAAAAGAAGGCCAGGATGGCTGAAGTAAAAAGAGACTACCTAGAATCCTGCGGAAGTTGGTACCCAGCCATACAGGGAATTTAGGATATGGTAAGATTTTGATTTTAAACTTTAAAGCAATGAATATCCAACAAAGAGATTAAACTGTGAATATGTGTGAGTGTGTATGTGTGTGTGTGTGTGTGTGAGATATGTGTGTATAGGGGAGTGACATGATCTAATCTGCATGGCCAAAGCATCACGATGGTTATAAGTGGAGAAATCTAAAACACAATTTATATTTGTACGTATCATCTCTATGTATCATCTCTATCATTACAACATATTCTTATTGCCAGTATGAAATTTTTGTCAATAGTAGTTGAAAAATTAGTTATTTGGACTTGTCTAAAAATTAAATAAATATTTGCACCATTATTTGCAAGACAGAGTATCATCCATGCACCAAATATCTTATAAAAGATTAGGAAAATCATTAATCTTGTAAGTGCAATTGTTGTTTTCTTAGGCTATTTTGTAGGCATTTGAATATTTCTCATTTTTCAGTCTCTTTAATGGGATGATTTGACTCCTGCATACAAAAGTATAAGCATTTGTTACTTTTTGAGAATCAGTATTTATTTGGTCCAAATAAAACTCTTCTAAAATGTACGAATAAAAAAAAACTTTTCCAAGGAGCTCATTCTAAGATTAATACCAAAAAAGTAAGCATCTCACTAATTATATGTGAGAAAAAAATCAATTCTTGTTAATTACAACTAGTTATGGATATTCTGAGTACACAAATGAATATACAGTTAATTATTTTCTCTGATTATTAAAATTTCAAAGTCGTTTACATAGAAACTTGAAAACTTGGCATTCTAAACTCCTAGCAGAAAAGGATTCCATTTTATTTGTCTTACCATTTTAGTCTAACAAAGTGTTTAGAACACAGTCAAGTTTTAATTGACAGTTGTTGTTTTACTACAATAGTGTTTTTCAAAAGCTCATTTTAGTTACAACTTCAAATTTAATTGTTAAGTGCAAAAAACAAGATTTTTCATTGAAAAGTTATTTGTTAAAAATTATTTGAAATAAATTTGATGGCTGCCAAATCAAATATTTTAAATTAACATACATTTAATATTCTTATTTATTTTTAAACAATCACATCTATTCAATTGCAATGAAGTAGGAAGCTTTAAATAATTTAATTACCTCATTTCAGAAATACTAATTATCCCAGCTTGCCTAGATCTGAGGCATTTCCAAGGAGGTTAAACTGTCATTGCTGAAACTGGGAGGGCCCAGGCAAAGTAGGATATCATTTACTAAAATATTACCATACATAACAGTTTACTGTCCACTGTTGGGAAAAAAATTAGGTAATAAACACAATTTAAAGGAGAAAAGTTTTATTTTGGCTCAGAATTTCAGATGTTTCAGTTCATGATCAGCTGATTTCAAGGCAGAAACATCATGGCAGAAGGGGGTGACCTATCAATAAAGCTACTAAGCTCATGGCAGACAAGAGGCAGAGTTCAGGGGAAGAACAAGAGTAAGGGGCCAGGGACCATATATAGTTCCCAAGGTCATGTGCCCATGACCCACACGGCAC